GGGTTTTTTGTTTCTGTTGAAGTCTGGAAAGCAGCTCAAGTTTCAGAATTTCAATGTATTTGACGAAGAAGGCGGACGTGTATTCATTGATGTTGATAATGAAGCTCTGACTTGGAAAGCGTGTGGTGCTCCAGTTTTCGAGGAGACAACCGTAAAGTCGTGGCAGCTGAGTGGAGTTATTCTATGAACGTGTTATACAAAAAGTGAAGGTTGGGTACGGGGCAAAAATTCTTTGAATTGCGTAGATGCAGCAATCTTTGTAATTCCGAGGAGGAAGACTAAGTATAGAATTCTGAGCACCGGTTATAAATAATTTGTTGCGACAAAGGACCGGCTATCGTTATGTATGTATAAAATCAGTTAAGACTTTTACGGGTGGCTGTGATAATTTTGTAAATTGGAAGGATGAAGGAAAAAGAAAGGAGAGATTCTGTGTTATAAGGATATAGAGGAATTTTTTCTGCTTTTTAGCGGAGTTTTGGTAAAACTTCTCACAGCATTTCGCAAAACCCCAGCTTGAAGTCGTTTTTCATGTTTCTTCAAAAGACCGTTCCAGCTGCTGTAAATTCTTCATTACGTAGCTACTGTAATTGGAGTTTTTTTTATCAGGATGTGGTAGCTTTTCCAAAATTCATAAAACGCTGCAGTAATTTGGTAAGAACTGGTCTTTTGAAGCCTTTGTTTTGAAATTTTCTGTACTGGAAGGTGGAGTTGTGATTCAAGGGAAAGAAAAATCTGGACCTCATTTAGACTGGTGGCTTCAATTTTCTTCCGCGCCCCGGTGAACAGGGCTTCTGAAGAAACCCTACCCGCTGGGAAGGAGATGGAGCCACCAACCCAAGCAAAGCGATAGCAAATAGCACGCTACATGAGCAAGCAGTAGCCGAGCAATATCCAATTGCTGTCTGCTGACATGCAGCATGACTTAATTGGTTCTACTAAACAATTCCGTTTATAAGTATAATCGTGCTTTGAAGGCACAAAAGTAGCCCAAGTTTTGCAGTTTGCTCTGCTTTAGAAAAACTTTTCGAAAATTGGATTGCACTGAAAAGTGCCTGAAAAAAGTCACAATTACTTGCGTCGAATGACAGCTTAACATCTACGCACTTTAAAGCATATCTGAACAGTTTTTGTGCGATTAAGTAAAGGAGAAAAGGGGAAAAAAAGTTTCTTGATTTCCGTTTGCTCCACTTGCGTTCTCCTCTTCTTTACATGTGTTCTAACGAGCGACATTGCTATTTCCTCAGCTTTTTCTCTCTTTTCGCCAAAATGCATTCACCAATCGCCTTACAATGGAAGGGACCATTTAACTCCACTGGCCCTCTATAGTGTTCTTGTGAACATTGAAAGGTTGGCCGCGGTACCGGTCTAGAGAAGAAAACTTGGCGGATTGGTTGAAAGTGAAACTGATGTGGAAATTTCTTTAGTTTCCCTTCTCCTCATTGATTCGTCACGTGTCACTCACAGTGATCTTGAGAAGCATAATTCATTGCTGAATTATTGGCAGTAAATCAGTGAAAGAACAATTTTTAAAAATTATAGAAGTGGTAAAAAGTCACGAGTGGAACAAGTGGGGATTTGTTTGACACAGATGTACGGGTATGTGTTTCGGAATTTTTCCCAACAGCTTTTTGTGTCACCTCATACACTAGACCAATAAGTTTCATGTACACAACTGAAACGTTGTGATTACTATGGTATTTTTAAACAGACTGGGAAATGCTCAGGAAATGTGGGTAGAGGAATCGCATGGGTTGCGAACTTGAACTTTTCGAATTCTCGCTGTGACTTAGTGACTGCACGATTCATTACACCACCCGGTGAAATAAAAGCGTCGTTGTGAAGCAGCAAAAGGATTTAAACGACGTTTTAGTAATAGACTGCTAGAAAGTCAGCAAGAGCTATATAGACAAATCTGGAACTATAACAATTAAATTAGGCGGTGTCGAGAACCTTGCGCAGAAAAAATGAGGTCAAGGTGACGGTCAAATAAAGCTTGTTTTGCAAGTGGGTACGATTGAGTGCAGTTGCGATCAGACTGGAAGTATTAACTTTTCCAAGAACTGATTTTCTCTGCTTTTCAATTGCTACTTACAAAGTGATAATAATTTCCTTTTTATGCACTTTAGAAAATAATATTTGGGAGTAAAAATAATAGAATTTTTTTTTTCATAGTCGATGGTTTTTTTCTTTGTTTTACTTTTTTACGTTCATCTTCTTTGCTTCTGTAATGGATTGGCAAAATAAAAATTCTGCAGGTGATATTTGTCATGGATTTTTTTACCCATTTTTATAGAATATGGGAAGGAGCAGAAATTTTGCACTGCGAAGACTGTTCAATGCTTTTAGCAGAGAAATCTGTTTAGAGAAAGAACTGCGTCGTCTTTATTAAGCATTTGGGTTTCTAAAGTTTATCGAGTTTGTAATTTTGAAAAATACAATAGAAGGCTTGACTGATTTGCACAGTGGATGCGTGACTTAAAAACAAAAAACTGGTTTTTCAGAGGGTCTCTTGGGATAAGGTTGCAACTTGCCGTCTTATTTTTCTACATCAAACTGGGGTTTATTCGTGTCATAACAAAGACCTGTTGTTGAGCATGGAACAATTATGGAAGAATCATAGGATTTTGTACATTGAAATTTTTTCAGATCATCCGTATCGTAGCAGTTGCCCTGGAACAGCTTTGGTAAAAGCGGTTTCAATTTATATACATGAGTTTCCATTTGTCTCACAGATATCTCAAAGTGCAGTTTAAAAATTAATTGTGGTCCTGAGGGTTAACTTTTGTCACTTTTTTACCCGTACTCTCCTTCATTTGTCTGACTTTGCCAGGAACGGCTAAGATTCTGCTTTTTGAGCTTTATTTCCTCGTCTCTGATTAAACAGAGAGAGATGTTTCGTTTCTGTTTCCTTCCGTTTCTGCAGAACTTTTATTTTTTGACTACACTTTTTAAGTTTTGGTGGCAAAAATGTCTTTTAATTATTGACTTTTAGCTTTTGCACCTGACTGTTGGTAAAATTTGTTTTTTTCGTACTTTTCGTTGACTGGAAGTAGATTTATTAAGTGACTTGTGTGTATTAAAAGAGAGATTTTTAAAGAAATGTTCGAGATGGTAGGAGAACAGGTTTAAAAATGAGGGTAAGGAAAAAAAGATTCAGTGAAAAGTATGTGAAAATAATTCTGCAGATCGTTTGCTGTGAGACATAGATAGTGTTAAGAAGAAATATGTTAATTTTTTTGATTAAACATGTATAGTTCCTTAGACTGTTATTTAAGTCCTCACAGCATGAAAGAAAGGCTACAGCTACTTCAGAATGCTAATCATTCAAGTTTATTTTGACAAAGAAAATTCTTCGAATTGCAATTTTATTGCAGCGATCGTAACACCAAGCCGAGGCTGGTCGCCGTTGATGAGGAGTAGGACTGACGAAATCATACTCAAATTTGAGGTTCAATCAATGTATTTAGCTAGTACTTTTTTCTCCTTTTGAAGTTTTTTAACTCAAGGTTTTTTTAGAACTCCTGATTTTTTAAAACATTTTGGACTAAAGGACAAAGTTTCATCTGTCTGGCTACCGAAAAGAATGGCTAATTGGTGAAAGCTCTGGACCGTCTTTGAACAGTGTTTGATGTGGTGTACCATTTGTACAATATCAATATTAGAACTCTTTCTGAAGTGGTCGAGCAGTAGACCTCTCAATAAAGGGAGTTTCCAAATAATACTGCTTTTGAAGATCAGCTGAAAAATACGTTTTATTAATCACAGATTTCCAGTGAAGCGTTTTAAAAGTGCGTAATACAGTATTTGGGCAGTTTTCCGATCCGTGTGCAGTATCAAATTTCCTAGAAATGTAACAAGGCGGTAAGCCAAATTTTGGAATGTAGCAGTGCATTGTTATGCGCAATTTCTTCTGAGGTGTTGGCCGTTGCCCAACACCCTACCTTAGAATCGTATTGACATGTATGTGAATAATTTATTGGACATTGTGAGGATATTGTATTTAAGCAAGTCTTTGAGATACCTCTGTTTTGGAAATATTTTTCAGAAGTGCGCCGCTTAAGAAATACATTCATAAAAGCGTCGACTGTCATCTGATTAACTCTGTTTTTCGTTACATGTACACAGCAAACGTGGTTCATACATACGTTTTCCATCTGCGTTCTGTAATTGTATTGTCTGTCTCGCTACGCCATTTTGTGTTAATAAACAAAGACTTTAAGGTATTCCTGGCATGTAAGCATTTAATTTATCAAGTGTTCAAACAATCTTGAACAGGAAATCCATTTAGTTTGTTCTCGTCTCAAGAAGTTATTGCCTGCCACTTGCTACTTTTAATCGCCATTTCTGTGCTGTTACAAGGTTTTGAAATTCTTCCAGGCCGGGTGTTGAAAACAGTTGTGCGAGTAAAGATTTATTATCATAAGTGAAAATTCTTATAGTCGGATAAAATGCGGTCTCGAGGGGAAATGAGATTTGAATTTATTATTTTGATTGAACGTCAGTTAACTTTTTTGATTGCATTGCTGTTGGGATTGTCAAGTTCAACGGGGAATAAATTTTGTGGTTTACTATTTTCAAGTATTTTTGGGTTTTATTTATAAATATTATTTCTAAAAAGACTATTGCTGAGTATAATTCACAAAAAAGCTTGTAGTATGCGCAGTTGGCAGGGACCGTGCATTGTCCAGTTTAATTTTCAGAGACCCTCGGGTTATGTAGTGTAACAACCTGTGTAATTACATGATTAATAGCGCTGTGGCTTCTCTCTAATTCATCACGTTTTGCGTTTTAGGTGAATAATGAGAGTTGTCTCCTTGTAGCATGGAACAGTTTAGCAATCGTCATAAGGACTTAATTTTTTGTAATAAAAGATAATCCACATATATTTTTCAGATAACTAATGTCGGAAGGGCGTTTGCCGAACCAGCCTCCTCTTAAAGGTAAACCGTTTTTTTTTAAATATTATTTTCGACAGATTTAGATTAAGTGGGTCTTTAAATTGGTGGTTTTTCTTTTTTTAAAGTCATTTGACGGAGTTTTCAAAGAAACTATATTCATTGGAGTGTTTTCTGGAGTTCTTTGGCGGTGCGGAATGATGAAAATGACTGGTTAGCGTAAAGCAGTACTCAATACAGTTTTTCGCTTGTGTTTTTTGAAAATGTAATCTAAGGCAGTGGTGGGCGG